TTTTTTGAGAATTATCTCTCACATAAATTTCATCAAGATCGATGTGTATGGGGTGAATATGGTGTCTTGTCAATTTTATTCCAATTTTTATAGATATAGAAATTTATATGTATCGAAGAGAATAATTGGCGTCCATTGAAAATTGAAATATTTCTTTAAAACGAATGGAGTGAACTCTGCGGTATTAAATGGCCACTCTGACGCGTCATTGTATACTTTGGCATGGGAAACGCAAGACGTGCCAGAGACGTCATTTGACGCCAAGGATTTAACTGAGCAACAGCTGCTCGAATTATCCATGGTAACCCAACAAAGTTTCTTCTTTCACAGTGTACACTTCCAAGCACTTTGTTGAAATATCAACGATTTTTCAATTTCTCGAAATACACGAAATATGCATAAATATTCGAAATAATCGGACTCGGAGATATATTTTTTAATATCATAGAAATTTTATAGCATTATTTGCTGAATTTGATACGGCCGGCCCCCACGGACCAATGCCGTCTAAATGGAAACTTTAGTGTCGGCCCTCAGGGACGTAGCATTTTATATGTCAACACATTTTCATGAAATTAAATTACACCTTGGAAGAATTTATTCCGTATCGTATCAGAACCGAAAGTAATCGAATGGAATAAAATATATTATACGATATGCACAAACTGAATAGACTATCTTTGGATAAATCGAAAATTCCAATACGAATACAAGCTAAATTTAATGTTCTGAACATTATTATTATAATTAGAAAACTGAAAAAGATAGAAAATATAAGGTAAATTCGCTCTTCGAAATATAGATAGGTATTTATGAATCACCCTGTATATACCGACATCTTGTTACCGTTACGGTGAAACCAATAATAAAAACTAGAATATCCAGAACGCTCCAGACACCTCAGACACCAGTTCCAATTACCTAAGACACTCTCCTACACCCTAATATCCCATTTCCATTAGGATAATCTGTACAATAAAAACCAAAATATTCAAAGTGCACCAAATCCATGGACGCCAATTCCAATTACTTAAGACACTCCCCTTACACTCTAGCAGCTCGCCACCATTAAGATAATCTCGACGAACCACCCTCGTCGATGTAATTCGACGAGACTGCCAGACAAAGGGCGCGTCCATCTTGGCAGCACCGGCTGACGAAACGGAGTAGTATCGGGCCGGGCCGCGGTGGCGCTAGTGAGTTCGGTGCAACGTCCAACTCGCTAAGGCTGTCTCAGCAATAATTGGACCTTATCGATTCCCGTTATTTCTTAATCAAAATTACTATTTCGAAACCAATTTCTGAAAATGTACATGGATCGACATCTTATCGATACTTTCTACCTCTTAATTAATCGTGCTTTTCACTTAGACAATACATACGCACAATCTACTTTTATACGATAATAATTAATATATAGGCAAATTAAATTAAATTATCTCTCAAATTACTGTATTTGATGAAATATCCATGTATATCACTGGTTAAAACTAATTTTGAAAATGTCTAAATATAACACTTTTACCAATGACTGTACACGCGCGAATTAGAGATATATGTATTAATTTGCATATTTCGTTACACGTAAACGATCATACGATGGAAATGCGGATACCAAACGCTACTTACACAATCAACACTTCCGTGTGAGTGTAAGCGTATTTGAAATAGGTGCCTCTAACCGCGGTATACGGAAACCTAGGACATTAGCAGACACCTCACACCGGTGTCTGCTCCCCGGCCAAGAAGAAGTGCCGTGGCCGTCTGTCACGTCACACCTCCACTTTTTCCACCTCCACCCTCTCATCCAAGTTCTCCGTGCGTACACCGGGTCGTTGAGCTTCGCTCGAGGAAGCGTGCACGCGGCGGCCACGTCCTTGACAGTGGCGCTGCGAGCGCGGCCTGCGAGGCTATGACGCAGGAATTTTTATTTTTCCCGCTGGCTCTGTCGCTCCTCTCGTGTACCACGTGACGGACGCCTCGACGTAGTTCGCGCGCGAGAAAATGGCGGACGAGCTGAACGGACTCCTCTTTTCGGTCGCAGGAATCCGACGAGAACCTGTTCCAGCGTTTGTATAAAGATCGTTAGGTGGAGCAAAGGTGACTGCGCAGGGTGTCCAGTCGTTGGAGTCAAAGTTGAGGTTATGGAAGAGGGGTGCAGGGCTGAATAATGGGATTTTTTGGAGACCGTTTGCGTCCTGGTTGACTGGTTTAATCGGTCGGTCGAATCGGGCAGTTCTGGGGCAGTTGTGGAGCAGTTTAGAGCGTTCTGGTATTATGGCTGGTTGCGTTGGATGTAATTGGATGTCGGGGTGGCGAGGAGCGGTGTTGCTCGGGTCATGTTTGCGTTTGGAGTAATCGGTTTTCGAATATTCGGGGAAAGGTAATTGCTCTCGCGCGATTATGCGGTTCTAAGCGGTGGTATTTGAACAGACGCATGGCGGAATTTTATGTCTTCGGGCAGGGGTATTAGCCTGTAATTTATACTGCAACGGTGAGAGTACCCTGTGGCAAGTTTTTTATTCGGAAATGCACGAGGACGAACGTAAATTGCCTTGGGATTCAAGACACGAGATACCGAAGCACTTAGGTCAAGATAGACATCCGACCATTGCCTAGCCAGCAGACGAGGTTTATCGAGTTCAAAACTCCGATCGACCAGCTCTACGGGAGGTTCGGGAAATTGGCAAACTAGCTCTCTCTTCGTCCCTTTCACGAGCAATTATGCACGTGGACGGAATGCAGAAACGGTAAAGACGCGTCACGTGCATGCACCAGTTTGAAGCCACGATGCAAAAGAGAAATTGGGCAAAGTGTTTCCGACGTCGGCACGTCTCGAACCGCGATGAACGTTTGCGGTTATAACACCTACGCGAGAGAGTAATAGCGTGCACTGTGATTTCCAATTTTTCTACAGAAATTGCATCTGCTTATGCGAAAATTTTTTCCCACGACGCGATTAAAAATTCAGAAATTTAAATATTGGAATATTCGGAAATACGGAAATTTAAAAATTCGAAAATTTGACAATTGGAATATTTGAAAATTCGGATATTTGATAATTCCGAAACTTGTCAATTGGAAAATTAGAAAATTGGAAAATTTGGAAATGGAATACTTGATAATTCGCAAATTTGAAAATTAGAAAATATCGAAATCTGAAAGTTTGAAAATTTGGATATTTCACAATTCGAAAATTTAAAAATTCGGATATTTCGCAATTCGAAAATTTAAAAATTTGAATATTTCACAATTCGAAAATTTAAAAATTCGGATATTTCTCAATTCGAAAATTTGAAAATTCCAATACTCGATAATTCGAAAATTTGTAAATACGAAATTTTGCGAATGCAAAAATTAGAAATCATAGTAATGCGCCTAAATTTTTATTTTAACACAAATTTCTATAATTTTCTTCAACAGAATGCCACAGTACTACCCTTCCATTATAAAATTAAATTCGATTTGCAATTAAACATTTTTTTTCTACCACGGTGCACAACTGTAATATCACTGGAGAAATGCTGAAAATCATATACGTGCCTACTATGATTTTGTCGCGTACTGTACATACGTGCACAGTTCAGCTCTTTGGAGAGCCGTCTTTGGTGTCGTCAACTGAACAACCCTCACATTTAGCCTCGACGCTATGAGGACCACGTTTCATTTGTTTGTCTTTTACACATTAGTGGGATCTCTCGATTAATCCCTCGCGAATCGGCGAACGATTTAATTGCATCCCACTGGCGAGATTTGCGGGCTTATTTTAAGCCCCGTTTTACTCGTTCTGAGGTCGCCATATGATTCAGTGTCATCTGGCCTGATAGCACCGTTAATACCCGGTATTATGCGTACTCGGAATGCGATAAGGATTTATGGAACGGTTGTTGAGTGTAAATCGAGGGGTTCAATGGTGGTATTTTTTTACTGTAACATGGTCGGCCGATACGTAGCGAATCGCTGATAACAGGCTTACTGTGCCACTGGCGAATCGATTAGAATAGTTTTTCCTCGTGGTACATCATTTTGAGAGAGTGAAACGGGGGAGATGGAACATCTTGTGTATTTTTATGACTTGCTATCTTGACTCGGTGGAGACATTATAATTTGTTGAAAATAATAGAATATTAATTAATTGAATATAAATACTGTATTTATATTATTATTAATATTAATTTTAATTAAATTATTTAAAATCTCGTTCAAATATTCTGCTGTACCCATCAAGACCAAAATAATAGAATCATATAAATGTTATTTCGAACAATCAGATTAATTAAAGAAATAGAATGTTAAATAAAATATGTTTTAAAAGTGCAGGTTACCTCTACTTTATTCTTCATTTATTCTATTTGTTTTCATTTCTTCAACCTATAGTGATCTGGCAAATAATAATAGAGTATTTTAAAGCTATTATAAATTTAAAATTGTTAGAAAATTTATATTATATATCTCTAATATATAATATTTTTATTACTATACATTTAATATACCAGTGACAAAGGAATATTTAATATTTCTCAAAGAAGTACGCTCTAAACATTCCCCTCGCATTTGCAATTAATTTTTTAATTTATCCAAACGATTTTTAAGTGTTCAAAGTTATTTAAAAAATTTTAATTTATTTATTAATTATCTACCACAATCTACGATCTAAAAATGGTTCCCAAAAAATGATTCAGTCAAACCAAATATAATATTAATAAAAAACAACCTAGATTCAAAATTTTAAGCTCCCATATTTCCAAAATGAAGTCTGCGACATTTCATTGTTCGAAATCTGACATCTGCAATCCACAATAAAACCAAGACTATTGTCAGAGCTACTGTACCCCTTTCTCAAAGAGAAGCTAACCCAAAAACTGGCCATGTTGTTCCCTAGACCCCCGATACAATACATTTTTGTCCACTCGTGGTTGAACCGGTTCGAGCACCTTCTGAACGCGAGCAAAGGGTTGGCCAATGAATCTGCTGAAAACGACTGCTTCTCCTATCCACAGGGTGTCTTCGGCGCTGAGCAGTGGGGCACAGGATGGCAGGATCGAGCAGGGAACCCAGGCCAGGCCCTGAACGACAGTGTTCATCCCTCGTGAATCGTCGCGACAGACGAAGCTGGTCTTCGTTCGATTAAGGGTAGCTTGGAAGGACAGCGAGAGGGGTGGTTGGTCGGCGTGGTGCTCGGCGAGATCGAGATGAGCGATCTACAGGCCACTCTCGAGTTCTCCCTCGAGCTCTGCAAGTTCTACAATGTCGACCTGTTCCAGCGTGGGTAAGCGGATCCTCCGGCTAGAGATCTCGCGACGAGGGGAGAGATAGAGCCCTGGCCGCGTAATTGCGACGGCTTAGACCCCTAGGCTTATCGACGATTCCCAATTTCGCAGGTATTACCAGATACGAACCGCCCTCAGAGTGTCGCCGAAACTGCCTGTCAAGGTGGAAGTTAACCAGCTGCAGAACCGTGAGTACTATCTTCGAATCTTGCTACCCTTCCGTCTCGGCCAGACAGTTGCCTGGGTGCTGAAATATCTTCGAATATTTTTCGTGCCACTCAGACATGCGATTTTCATAGCAAAACAGAACTTTTGATCCCTATATTTTTATTTTTGTGGGTTTAGATAGAATGCTAACATAGTAGGGGAAGCAAAAGTCGTGCGATTTTTATATTTGTCAGGTCGAGTACAGGCGTGGTTTAATTGGGGATATTTTATAATAAAGGAGGTAGAAACCGTGCAGTGATTATATTTCCCTACTTTTATATTCGTTAATTTCGATTCGAGGGTGGAAGAGGGTAAAAAGAAAGGAATTAAACGCGACAGAGTGTAAGGACGCAAAAGACTCGTGAATTTGGTGATTAATAGCGGAAGCGAGAACAGTGGCAACGAGAGGTAAAGTCGGATATCGATCCTGCCTGGAAATACCTTAGCAGGGCGACAATTTAATTCGACGTTAATAATAAAATTCGACTGTAGTTTGTATTCGCGAAATATTTTTGGCGCGGTAATTTTGCAGTAGTTTCTGTTTAAAGACTATTCGAGAAGTTGGTCCGGGAAATTTATTTAGAGGGTAAACTTTGTCCGAGTTTTGCTCAAACATTTCATTCCACTAACACCCGACTCCGGTGCCCACACGGTCCATTATCGCCACCCACGCAACCCATATCCTCCGAAAACCGACGACCATCCTCTCATCTCCCACTCCATTCATCGAAAGTACCGAGCAATCAATGGTAACCGAGTTTCCACAAATTACCACCCTTTCCCTCGAACGACGCGTGTCCAGCGATTCAAAGAACTTCCCCGCCGACGGAGGCGGAAACTTCCGCGGCAGCGGTGGAAAACTCGCTTGAATTCGCCTCGCAAGTTTAGACAACGACGAGAATTTCCAAACTAGTTCAAACCGAGCTGCACTCGATAGCGTTAGAAAGTTGCCCAGCAGCGCTTGTATCGCGTCACGATTCTTCATTGTACGTCGAACCCGAGCGTCTAGTACCGGTCTCGCGTCAACGAAACTAGGGGCCAACGGAACCGCGAGACGCTCAAACTCCGCATTTCCTACGTAGCATGCATCTAGACCGACAAGTGTCGACACTAGCGCCACCTATTACCGCGTCGCGGTTCCCCATTGTGCGTCAAATCCGAGTGTCTTATGTTAGTCTCGCGTGAACGAAACTGGGAAGCAATAGAACCATTGTATATTCTAATTCGACGTCTCTCTGAAGAACATGCATCTAGTTAAGCAAGTGTCGACACTAGCGCCATCTAGTATTGCATTATCGTTCCTCATTTTATGTCAAATTTGTGTGTCTTATATTAGTCTCGTATAAACGAAACACTCCAATTCGATATCTCCCTAAAGGACATGAATATAGTCAAATAAGTGTCGACACTAGCGCCACCTACTATCGCGTCACGGTTCCCCATTATGCCTCAAATCTGAGTGTTTTATGTTAGTTTTGCATAAACGAAACACTCCAATTCAATGTCTCCCTAAAGAACTTGAATATAGTCAAATAAGTGTCGACACTAGCGCCACCTACTATCGCGTCACGGTTCCCGATTATGCCTCAAATCTGAGTGTTTTATGTTAGTTTTGCATAAACGAAAGTGGGAAGCAATAAAACCATTATACACTCCAATTCGATGTGTCTCTAAAGAACATGCATCTAATTAAACAAGTGTCGACACTAGCGCCACCTAGTATCGCATTATCGTTCCTCATTTTGTGTCAAATTTGGGTGCCTTATATTAGTTTCGCATAAACCAAACACTCCAATTCGTAGTTTCCCTAAAGAACATGAATATAGTCAAATAAGTGTCGACACTAGCGCCACCTACTACCGCGTCACGGTTCTCCATTATGCCCCAAATCTAAGTGTCTTATGTTAGTTTCGCATAAACGCAACTAGGAAGCAATAGAACCGCTATACACTGCAATTCGATGTCTCTCTAAAGAACATGCGTTAAGAACTAGTTAAACAAGTGTCTACACTAGCGCCATCTACAATCGCATTACTGTTCCTCGTTGTGCTCCAAATTTGTGTCTTATATAATAATTTCGCATATATGAAACACCAATTCGATGTCTCCCTAAAGAACATAGAAAGAACATCTAGTCAGACAAGTGTCGACACTAGCGCCACGATACCAGGTATTTTGTCACTATCTACTGCGCCACAATTCTTTATTATACCTGTACGCTCGTAACGAACCTCGTATAATAGAGAGCAACAGACCTGTGAAATGATTAATCCCTCGCACTCCACTAGTTTCATGAATACACCTCCGCAATATGAAAACATAGAGAATCTGGAATTGCTTCTCTGCTGCTTCTTCTCTAAATAATCTAATTGTAAGTAAACTACTGCCTCCCAGCGGAATGTTCCACTGTCACCACACCCACTTGATTGTATGTTGCCTCTGTGTACTGACGTGACCCTTGTCTATATATACATGGGTTCAGAGTAGATACAGTCTATATATAGATCGCAGAGAGCAATACTAACGGTGAGAGTAGTACATTCCCCAGGCCTGACCTAGAGAGCGTGCATTGAGTCAGATCCGCGTCGACACTAGCGCCACTGTACCATTACTCCGACCACCGGGGCGCTCGGAAAGCGAGTCACGCTCGTCACTTAACCCGACGGAGAGATTTGAAGGAACGCGATGATTGTTGCAGAATCGTTGGAGGCACCCGGAACGAGCAAGCGCTTTCAGATCCTCTTCAGAAACGAGGAGGTGAAACTAGGCACCTCGGTCCTATTCCGAGCACACGTGCTGGTTCACAGTCACAAGATCGAGGAGGTCCTCTCCCGCACCCACTTCAATCTCGGCGTCGAGCTATGGTTCAGCGAGCCGACGCAGCCCGGGAACATGGCGTGCGTGTCGTCTAGGTGAGATAGCCTAACCGTCCTCAGGACACTGTGCCCGCGAACCGCGACGATCGGCCGAGCGTGAGCTCGCGGGAAACGATATTGTGGTCTCTGACGACAGGATTGCTACACGCGAGTCGTAACTGGAGACCCGTGAGAGAGTTCTGTTTGTTTCTCTCTCGACTCCGTAACATAGGAAAAAGAGAAGGTATGGGGAGCAGAAAGCAGTCTTTCTGGGCCTCATCGTGCACTCAGTGGACTCTTTAGAGTCTTCCTCGACTCTCTTTTGTACGTCTGTATTATATGTCTGGCAAATTGGCAGCCGGACTGGCACGAGAGAAATTGATACCCAGTGGATGCTCCTGAAATCTATACTTTTAAACCCTCTACGGGATATTCTGATGTAGCAGTACAGTTTCCATTTCATTTGGTTGGGTTTGCAATATAATCCTATTTGCAGACGTGACACTCCTAATCGCCGATGAAGATTCGCTTGACCTGTCTTTGCGATCATGTTAGAGGTGGTGTACTCATTGCATTGTAGCCAATTGGACCTACGTTCCTTCTATCTGCCAACTTGTTACACTTGTACAGAGCAGTGGTTGTCAAAAATATTTAGTTACGATGCACTACCTTAGTATAGGATGATTTTAACAACTGATCTAATCTCTATCTAACATCTCTCATGATAAAATCTAAAATTTCCTGCATCAGACATAGGATTGTCTTCTCCCTGCACTTATTACACATAGTCAGCTAATAGAGATGAGCAAATGAATACTATATTGAATGGTCGTGATAGATAGGTATCTAATCACTTAGTAGAGATTGACTGTTTGATGATGGGAAAACCAGCTGACTAGTAATTCCTGCTAGAGAAGTTCCCATCTCTGATGTAGTATTTAACAGGTTCACTGGTAAATCCTTTTTCTATTTCGTACGTTTTATTGTCTCACGTTATTCAGAGTCTCCTCACCTAGCTGATGATAGATGAGACACTCTTTATCTACTTTCTCCAGAGGTTCAAGACCTCTTTTGACTAATTCCTTCGTTTGACTAATCCCTAATCGCCACGATCCTGTTCAAGTCTCTGTCCAAAGTCTCTTCACAAAGATTTCAAACGCAACATTGCGAGAAAGGAAGAATATACCCGTTCGAACAACAGCAACTGATAGACCCGCAGCCACTTTCGTAAATTTCTTCCGGCCAGGGAAGAGTGCGCGACAAGAAGCAAAAGTTACCCACAGACCTAACAGATGGAGGGATCGATAACCTTGGCCGCGTGCGCTTTCCACCTTGAAGGTTTGACGAGCTTCGTTTACCTTTTGCAGGGCGTTGCAGCTGAACTTCGCGCCCACGAAAGGGCTTCACTATCATCTGCCTGTACGCTTCGATTACTTCCATTTTGCCGCTGTCTCCATCACGATACACGCCTGCCTCGTGGCCCTTCATCAGCCTTACATCAAGTCGGTATCGATTCCAGCTTAGTTCACTCCGTTCTTGTTTACATGATTCTTAATAATATCCCTTTTCTCTGGTTCCATGCTGATTTGATTGCGTTCCCGTGTTTCCAGGAAGAGCATACTTCATTACGTGCAGAGCTGGTAAGTTTCACGTGTGCGTGTATATGCGTGTGTGTGCAGGGAAAATAGGAATTATTGACCAATTTCCTGCGTTCCGAACAATTGCACCATAAACTGTTGAGCAATTTTAATATATTTTCTTTTTTTTTGCAAGGGGGGGGGGGGGGTTTGAGAGTTGAGAATTGAGAAGAAAAAGATTTTGGATTTTGATTAAATGTATTTTAATGGGAATTTCGTGTTTTATTATTATATTCACTACACGAATTTGTCCAAGATAATGTTATTAGAATTGTTAGTAGAATTTAGAGAAATTTAATAATCTCGACTATTTTTTTCTTTTTTTTAACTTTAAATAGAACTAACTTCTGCAGTGTTAATACTGGGAAATCTTTGTTGTCTTGTTACATAGTACTAGCATAAAGTACCTTATTGAATATACATACATACATATATATATTTTATTACCTATGTTATACGATGTGTATGTATATATATATATAGGTATATTGTTGTAAGAGTTTATTGTAGACAATTGAAAATAACAAACTGAGGAAAATTTAAAAAAATTTATATAATATAATATAATATAAAATAATTATACCATTTTCATTATTATTCTTGATATTTTTTATTTAAAAGATTGTCTTCCATTTGCTAGTTTGTTATTGTTACTAATACATAACATATATTACATATATCCTATGACACATAGATAATAAAATATAATGCATATAAATAATTCCTCAAATAAAATAATACCCGCCGAAAATGTTAATGAAAATCAAAATTACTTTTTCCTATACTATGATTAAAGATACTATATCACGATGTACTACCCTGGCAAAAAGTTTTTGACCGAACTCAATTATCTTCTGCTTGCCAATAAACAAAAGTACAAATTATTCTTTTTTTCGTATGAAATCGATTTAACACGTTCATTCTTCATCCAATCAAAAAGTTAATTTCAGATAATTTCGTATAATCGCATCAGGCGTAGTACTGCGACGTTGTATTATTTTCATACACACATTTCCCAGCATAAATTTTTCTTCCCGCGTTAAATGGATCCTAGTTAATTACAAATAAATTTAATATCCTCCGAAAAAATGGAAGACGAACTTTATACCCATTTTCCGTTCGCAATTACCACCCCGTGCAACCCCTGACAGCTGCCCGACCCCTGTACAGAGTAATTTAAGATTAACCTGACGAAATCTCGGGGAAAAGTTCAATTTCCTAACGATATTACGCTGTAAATCGAGTTCGATCCCTTAATCGCTTTAATCGAAAAATTCTATTCCGCCCTGCGGGCGCGCAGTGGCCCGATTGTGTTTCAATTAACATCGCGAGGAGGTAATTAACCGAGTAATATGCTTGCAGCGCCCCACGCGGAGGGAAGCCGTGGCTGCAGTTCAAACAATCCGCGGCAAACGGAGACAACGATGCCCAGTTAGGAAATATCGTGAGTTCATACGCTTCAGCCTCACTCGAGCCTTTGATCGATGCGACACAGGGTAGAAACGAGGGTGGAAACGACCTGTTTCGAAGTTTACGATGCGGACACGAGCAGTTGGAATTTTTGAGAGCGGCCGTTTAATCGTTCGAGATTCGTTTTTGAACCGGATCGATAGAGTGGCAGATGGAGTTGACGCGTGGTCGTGGATCTGACTCTTCTGTTCGATAACGAGGGTCGCATCGCGGTCTTTTTTGAGATTTAAGCGACGTGGATGACACGTGCCACTGTGAACCCTTAGAGAGAACCTAAAAATATAAGGACGTACGGCTTTATACGGTGCCGTAGGCGAAAATGTAATAGCAGACCTTATGAGTTGCAGTGTTCCTTGAGTCTCTTGCGTGCGAGATATCTCTTTCGTCAAGGTATCGGAGATTTATCTTTTTCGAGAAGCTTAATCTGGTTGTGCAACAAATGGACGCCACTGAACTTGTTGAAAATATGAATATTTGAAATTTTTTAATTCGAAAATTAAAGAATTCGGAAATTGGAATATACGATAATAAAGAAATTCGGAAATTGGAATATCTGATAATTAAAAAATTCGAAAATTGGAATATCCGATATTTAAAAAATTTGAAAACTGGAATATCCGATAATAAAAAAATTCAGAAATTGGAATATCTTAAAATTAAAAAATTCGGAAATTGGAATAACCGATAATTAAAAATTTGAAAATTGGAATATCCGATAATAAAAAAAATTCAGAAATTGGAATATCTGATAATTAAAAATTTGGCAATTGGAATAACCGATAATTAAAAAATTTGCGAATTGGAATATTCGATATTTAAAAAACTCGAAAATTGGAATATCCGATAATTAAAAAATTCGGCAATTGGAATAACCGATAATTAAAAATTTGGAAATTGGAATATCCGATAATAAAAAAAATCAGAAATTGGAATATCTGATAATTAAAAGATTCGGAAATTAGAATACCCGATAATTACAAATTTGGGAAATTAGAATATCCGATAATTAAAAAATTCGGCAATTGGAATATACAATAATTAAAAAATTGGGAAATTGGAATATCCGATAATAACAAAATTCGGAAATTAGAATACTCGATAATTACAAAATTGAAAAATTAGAATATCCGATAATTAAAAAATTGGCAATTTAATATTTCAAAAATTATGTACTTAATAATATTTAAAATTTGAATATTTGATAACTAAAAAATTCCGAACTTTGAATATTTGAAAACTAAAAAATTCGGGAAATTGAATATCTGGAACTTAAAAAATTCTCAAATTTAAATATTTAATATCTCGAGAATTTGAATAAATTTTTTCTATTTTCCCTCTCCAATTCCTTGTACCCTCATTTAAAATAGACTTATAGTCAGTCTTAATTACTGAAACCACCCTATAATTATAAAAACAAAATTGCTATATGCAATAATAATTTAATTACTATATCCCCATTTAAAATATTCTCATACGAGCACAATCAATGATTCAACTAACGCCTGACAATAAACAAACCCGAGCAACCTTACATTTCAATAAACCAAATTAAACCCTACCAATAAACAATCTTCCTCCTTATCCTTTTTCCCATTTTCAACGTAACGAGGCTTCCTCAATTTCATACAATCCTTGGAAACTACGACGATTATTCCAGGAAACGACGACGAGATGCGTAGGCTCGGCCACGAGGATACAGCACGCGAAACTGGTACAACAGGAGGTAATCAGGTTACTTTTGGCCGCGAGGGAATCTTTGCTCAACGATTTAGCTGATTTAGCGCGGCTGCTACCTTCCCGCCAGCAAAGAGCTCTCGAGCTCGCTCAGAACACGCACAAAGAGATTACCAAGGTCAGTTCTGCGAGATTTCGTTCGAAGGCTCTCTCTTCTCCGATAAACTCTTTCGAAAAATCTGCTGGAAATCGTGTCACAGTTGCAGATGATGGACTCGGAGGAAACAGATATCGCTCAACTCTGCGCACAAAATATTGTCCTATGGCAGCATTTTCTCGAAGCCTTCTCCGGACGCGAGGCTGTCCATCAGCATCTAGCGAGGATCCATCATCAGCTGAGGGTAACACCGCTTTTCTATCTATTTTCTATCTTCTTTCTATTCGTTATTCATTTCGAAATGCTCAAATCTATTTTTCTTTCATCGCAACTGTTTTGAATGACACGTCGCTTATATATCATATGCTATGACTTGGAAAAGTGTTGGATGTCGTGTATTTGTGTGTTTGATTTAACCCCTATAGGCGCTTAGAAATTTTGCATTTATGACACGAAGGACGCCTATAGGCGCTCGGCGTAGTTCAGCTTTCTGACGCGGAGGGCGCTTGTTTTCACAAAAATGGCGCACATCGTAACTCAGTTCCTGCCGTATGGTACAGCCGTTGCGTATCAAAATCTGCCGTAGTCAAGGGGTTAAGGGGTTAAATCATATTGCACACTATAGTTATGAAAAAGTGTTTAGTATGACTTGGAAAAATATTAACAAATTTTTGGAAGTGTTTAAGTTAACGTGTATGTCGTTGTATTGGGATTGTACTAATGGCTACACTATAGTGTGTATTTTAAATAAATTGGGATAAAATATTTTCAAAATTTAGAGAATATTTAACCCTTTGCACTAGAGAGGCGACTCTAAGTCGCCATTTAATCAGAATCTAAAGATCGTTGTTAATTAGTATCACGAATTTAAAATTGCCCAACGACGAGTGGAATATCGAGATATAAAATAATTCTACGTTTTACAATTAATTTGCAGTTCTTATTTCGTCCATTTTAGGGCAGAAAGTCTTCGAATTACTATGTTTCTGTAACGAAAATATCGCCGAGTGCAAAGGGTTAAATTATTATTGCATAGTGACTGTAAACTAAAATCCATATTCCAAATTTTGACATTAAACCTCGAGATCGCGACCTAACTGAGCATTTCCAAAATTTTCATTAAAAATTCCTTGTTCATTCTTCTAATATGCATATAATTAACCCTTTACACTTGGTGATTTTTTCGTTGCAGAAAAATAGCAATTCGAAGACGTTCTGCTATATATATATATATATAAAGTCGACGATATTTTTAAAACTGGAAATCAAAAATTGGATACAAATTAACACCTAGAATTATTTTATTTCGACATTTCATGCATCGTTATGTTATTTTAAATTTGATATATCAATTAAAATCGATAAATGGTGACTTAGAGTTGTCTCCTGAGTGCAAAGGGTTAATTTCTCATAATTTTTCTAAGCATCCTCTTTTATTTCTTCTTTCTTTTGCGAAATCACATAATTTGGGTTAAAAAAGATACGAATAAAATTTTTGAAATATCCAAGATTATGAAGATTATGGGATATCGTGTATTCAAATGGTGTCAAAGGATGTGCCAGGTTTAAAAATAAATCTTACTTTTAAAGGAAAAAGATATTAAAATTGAAATTACCGTGACTGATCCCGGATCCATAGGTGAAACGTTTCGCGGAAGGTTTCTTCGTACAGGAAAATCCCAGGATATCCGCATGGGGTTGCTATGACGCGCACTATCAGTCGTATCAGGCAGTGAGCGAGGCTGCACGAAGATCGCGCTACCTCGCCTCGTTACCTCCACTTCCGGTGCACTGTCCGGAACTGGACGGGGACCTTCATTCTCTGCCTTTGATCTTCGAGGACCACTACGTGGATATGAAACAGAGGCACAGAAATAGCGGCAAGTATCAGTGCGACCAGAAACTCTGTATTCTCTATATTAAAAGTACCGACAGACCAACAATCCAATGACTCCAATAAAATATTTATTATATTTTTTAATTTATTCATTTATATTATTTTTTTCAATATTTAATTTTAATCCTAATTATTCAATAATTTTTCAATTATTAATATCTTTAATTGTATATATTTCAGGAATTGCAATTATTTTTTCTACTATATGGAATCATTATGAAAATAAATTGATTATTCCACTATTATACCCCTGCCCAAAAATTATCAGCCAACATTGAAATAATACGAAATTATGTACAATTAATTTTCTAGGTGTAGAATGATATAGTATGAGCATAAAACGAGATTTTAAAAATATTCGATATTAAATAAAAATAATTTAAATTTTGGTTTATCATCGACTAGGAAATAATTGAGTTTGGTCAAAAATTTTTTAACAGGTCTTGTAGTAGAATAGTAAATTTATTTTTGTAATGATTCTATATAGTTATTGGATTTTTGGTCTATATATAGAAGTCATCAACATACTCGATAGTAAATTATTATCGGAACTGTATATATATATTATTATAATATTAGTGGAGTTTCGCTTTTCAAAAATTTTGTAAATTCGAGTTCACCCCTACTTCGGTAAATAGAAATAGACAATCTTATAGTAATATATATATTATTATAGGATTATTATAGGATTTATTAT